CAGGAGCCGGGGTTTTCTTCAAGGCTTGGGGTTGAGGGTTTCGGGGTGTCGGAGTTTAGGGTTTAGGGTTTGGGGTTTAGGGATGTGGGGGTTTCGGGGTTAGGGGTTTCGGGGTTTCGGGTTTAGGGAACTTAATGAGCCGGCTTTCAGCAGAAGCTACCTATGACCTTGCCAAACACGTTCGCTTGATTTCCAGGATTTGATAAAGCCTCCTAGAGTTACATGGAGTACAAAACGCTCTAAGGCATAACCTGGGCAATTATTCGCCTTACGTTGCGTCCCCAATACGCAAGGGAAGCAACGCCCCCCAAGAGGATAACCCTTTCAACTTATGGTAGGTCTAGATAACGCCCCAAACGTTAAAGCTCATCTACGCAGCCCCGCAGGGCTAGCTTATTCTAAGAACCCACAGCTGTGGTTTGGAGTTGGAGGACTTAAGACCCGAGCGGGGACTCAGCCTGGGAATGCGAATCTGAGCAATGTAGGCACCTTTTAATAATTACCTGTACTATTTTGGGGGTTCCTGAGTTTCGTTTTTTGTGTAGTAGACCCCCACACCCTATTCTAAGAAAAAACTGTTCAGGCCCCTATAATATATATAACCATACAAAAATGGGAGGAGGTTGTTTGATACTCAATCAAAGGCTGAACACAACATGTTGTGCCATAAACTTCAAACAACGAAGCCACAGACCTAGGCTCGAGTCCGCATATCCTCAAACCCCAAGGTCGAACCTTATAGTACAAGCCCAAAAGTTGGAAACCCAATAGCCTCAATCCTTAAGAGTAATGTATAGGGATTCCCGCCCTAAATCCTAAGCCGCTTGAAGATCCAGTGCCCTCAACCCCCTCAACATCAAGTCCTAAACCCCAACCCGTACGAAAACGTCTAAACTGCAACGTCAACAAGTTAAAGCTTACCTAGCCAGCTACTACAGTAAACCCTTCACAAAGAGGGAGCATAAAGATGCTCCAGTCTCCCAACTTGCTGGCTTCTAGCCAAGTCTAGTTAACCCTGGTAGAACCATAAACCCTCGGTTACCCCTAAACTCCAAACCCTCAGTTCTTTGTTGGGAGGAAGCTGCAAGCCTATGCGACCCAAAGCACTTAACGTCCCAAGGCAAACACCCTTAAAACCTCATGTCCTCACTAGAACCCTAAGGCCCAAAATCCCAAAAACTTTATGGACGCTTTGAAGAGGTCCAAAACCCCTTTGAAGACCGGCTGTTGATGATATAAGTCCTGCATTACCTTAAGGACCCTACACTATGGGAATTATGGTATATTCCTTGTTATGGATGCTGCAGGATTTATATCATCAACCGTATACATCTCGAAAACCTTTAGGACCCCAAGCCGCCAAGCCCTGAACCCAAAACCCTAGACCCTGAAAGCCTAAACCGTGAAATCCCCAAACCCTACACCCTGAACTCCTGAAGCTGTCAAGGGGCCTCAGTAGAATGCTCTTTTCTACCAACTATCTGAAAACTTAAAATCCCATAAATCCCAGAGCCCACAAAACCCTGATCTCATAAAACCTAAAACCCTAAACGCTGAAACCCCAAAGCTTCCAAACTCCTGCCTCTGCGGTACGCTACAAGCCTACCGTAATGAGCCTTATTTTCGGCCTTACGGGAAAAAAAAATCGCAAGTTTTTGGCATTAACCCCCGTCAAAATCCCTCAAAACCCAAATCACCTAGACCCTAAGACCTAAACCCTAAAAAGCCACCCCCCAAAACCCAAATCCTCTGCAGCACGATGGTCAGCTGCTCAATCAGCGGCTGCCACGGCGGCAAAGGTCCGAAATCGGAGCTCTCCATGGGATCGTCGCGCTTCGTTTGTAGGGATTCTTTGGTTCGTCTTACGGCTTCTTCCGTTGTCTTCAAGAGTTGCTGCTCAGGTTTTTTATGGTTCTGCTCTTTGTCCGGTTCGAGGCCTGGGGTTCAGGTACCCAGAGAAGCCAATACCCCTTAATTAAGGAATATACCTTAAAGCATAATCTTATGGCCCCTATAATTTAAGGTATATTCCTTAGTTAAGGAATGTACCTTAAAGCATAATATTGTGGCCCCTATTACTTAAGGTGTACTCCTTAATTAAGGGGTATTGGCTTCTCTGGGTATGCTTCAGGCACAAGGCCCGGTCAAGGGTTTAGGGTTTGGGGTTTAGGGTTTGGGGTTTAGGGTTTTTTTTTGGGGGGTTTAGGGTTTGGGGTTTAGGGTTTGGGGTTTAGGGTTTAGGGTTTCGCGTCTGGCATGCAGGGCTCCGGCTTGACATGTGGACAGGCCGCTACCTTCAAAACGGGCTGCGATGGACACGCTGAATGCTTTGGGCCTTTTTTTGGGGGGGGCTCTACTTGGAGGCTCAGGGGACTTAGTAAGTCGGTGATAAGTCGGTTTATGACCTACTTACTAAGTCCCCTGGGCCTCCAAGTAGGGGTTAAGGGGTTCAGGGGCTTTCAGGGCTTAGGCTTTTAGGGCTTGACGGTGGGAGCCCAAAGATTCAATAAGGTCAGAGGCTACTGACTCTACTCCTAAAAGCACAAATGGGTGTTTCCGAAAATAAATCGACCTGAAACCAAACCGAGTCCCAGCAGTATGTTAACACCCTAATCAAGCTCTTATAAAACTACATGAAAACAATACAAAGCCATCGCAAAACTCTTCTGAAGTCTTGTAAACTGTATGAACTTCGTATAAAGTCTTCCCCCCCACACGTCGTTAATGCTGCCCAGCACACAGCCACAAAACTACGCATGCACACGTTAAAGACAAAACGTTGTTTATGATACAACATCGGTGAAGGCGTTGGGGCTTCGGGCTTCTGGTGTAGGGCTTCGGGTTTGAGGTAGCGCGCCCTGAACTCAAAGCCATAGGCCAGAGCCTGAAATGCAAAGTTTGAAGGCCTTTGCCATTATGGTTTTAACTTGAAGTCGGGCTTTGTGTGAATAATATGCGTGCCTTCATAAGTAGAACAGGTCTTTAGGCTTTGTTCAAGTAGAGCTGTGTAAAACAACTATACAGAAACATTATTGTAAGTACGCAGACCTCCATATTACGCCTGCTCTTTCTGATGTTGTTGTTGCTCCGAGTGCTGCCGCTGTTTGCTACTGTTGAACTTACCCTGATTACATAAAAGGCCCCCACAGGCACGAGAATTTCTGTAGGCCTTGTAACGCTGTGGGGTTTCAAGAGCATAGAATCTAAGAGTTCTTTTCAAGCGAAAGTTGTCGGAAATGGGGGGGGGGACCCCAACATGCACCGCAGATGGAAAAAATCTTAACGAAAGGAACCCCACCCACAAAATAAGAAACCCCTCCAACACTCCTTCTTCCGTCGCAGAACCCTCTGTCCTTGAGTTTTGCACACAGGCGCATGAATCGATCAGCTGTGGAGGGCTAGCTAGGTCGACAAAAGCATCGTGGATTTTTTGTTGGTGCAGGCTGTCCTCCCTCTACCCTCAACCCCGAGACTGTCCTACATCAGGTGTCTCCACATAATGCTTGGAGGATCAGGGGGCTTACTAAGTCGGTTAGAAGTAGGGTTATAAGTGGTGTAACTCCATTTAGGCTACATATAACTCTACTTATAACCTACTTACTAAGTCCCCTGGGCCCCCACATAGCATAAATGTCCGCTCGAAGCCCTAAACCCTAAACCCTAAACCCTAAACAACGCAGAACACATGGGCCGCATGTCGCCTGAGGCCTTAAGCCTCAGTTGATGCCGCGTCGGGATCTTTGCCCAAGCCCTAAACCCTAAAAACCCCTAAACCTACCCTAAACCCCTAAACCATAAACCCCTAAACCCCCTAAGCCCTAAACCCCTAAACCCCTAAACTCCTAAACCCTAAACCCCTAAACCCCTAAACTCCTAAACCCCTAATCCCCTAAACCCTAAACCGTGGCTCTCATGTGTCACCAGATTGCAGGATCTCTTCGGTTATCTCCATGTCCTGACATGGGGAGTTTCCGAACAGACGGGGCGCTTTATTTTGGGGTCCTTACCTAAACCCTAAACCCTAAACCCTAAACCCTAAACCCTAAACCCTAAGACTAAGGATCCTACAATTTAGGGTACTATATTCGGGTCCCCTATTTGGGAAACCCCCACATTGCAGTTACTGGAAACTAGGGTTTCCTGTATTCTAAAGTACCTCCTGGAACAGGTGAACATATAGGAGCCTGCTGCAAGAAGCACTCCAAAACGGAGCCCAAGTCAGAACTTAATATGAGGGTCATGTTGACTAGAATAAGGTTTTGATGAATATGATGCGACAATTGCCATAATGAGCCCTAAGGAATAGTACCAATAATAATCATTGAGCCCTCGATTTCCCCTAAACCCGAACCCCCCCAAAACCCGACACCCTCAACCTGTCCGAAATCCCCCATACCAGATCTAAACCCTAAACCCTAAACCCTAAAACCTAACCCGGTTTTCGTGGGTCCCCAGAGATGTCCCGGGCGCAGCGGCGCCAGGCATGGACGATCCAAACCCGCAACGTATTGTTTGGGGTTTAGGGCGCCAAGGGCTCCGGGTAAGGGTTTAGGGTTTACGGTTTAGGGTTTAGGGTTTAGGGTTCATTTCCCAAACCCTAAACTTAAACCCGAAGCCCCAAAATCCGAAACCAACACAGACTGAATCACCCAGCCGCAAACCTTGAGCCCTGCTGCTGTACTCTCCGTTACCGACATGGCTTGGCTCCGGGCACGTGGGTGCGGCTTTCGACTCTGTCGACTATGATCCGTAACGCTAAACTTACAGAACTTGGATACACTATGCTATGATACAGAGGATCACCACCGGTAGCAGTTTTTCTGGGTGGTGTGAGCTCCGCATCATGCGGGCAGAGGAATGCGAGCACCGAATCTTGGGAACACGCTCCCCGTTTCCCCTGAAACTGGGAAGCCAAACTGCTAAACTCCGTAACTCCAAACCATACAGTAAGTGTGGTACGGAGACTCGAGGAGTTCAGATCTGGACCGCGAGGAAGTGTTTTATCCTGAAGCCGCGTGCCGGCAAATGTCCTTTGCGACCATTTCCGGCTCCACTGTGCGCACCGGCCCCAACCTAAGGGACACATGGTTTGGTGAGCTTTAGGATCCTTTCAGGTTTCAGCGTTCGGGGTTTTGGGGATTGGGGGGGTGTAAAATTTGTGTTGTTGTTGTTGTTGTCGTTGTTGTACGGTAGATTTTGCGGTCTTGGGGCACCTGTGGCTTTGCATCGCGGACTTACATGATTTATAAGAGGTTGGGGGTTTTCGTTAGAGTGCAAGGTGTAGGGCTTTGAGGCCTTATGGTGCGCCCACTAGGCAGCAAAAGCCGAATTGTTGACATAGTGTTGCTTGTTGCTATGTGATGTTCGTATAAGGCGAACGCTGCCGTCATGCACTGCTTATGACTGCTGAAACATTAGATCTAACTGATATTGACTCATCATGGTGACTATGAGTCCGGTCGTGACGATGATGGCGGTGATGATGATGATATGTAATGACGAGAACAATCGTGAGTCGCTCCAGTTGGCATGTTTGCGTATTGTCGCACCGAGAATCTTTCAGAAACGGGTTTCAGCTGCCGTGAGGTTCCAGGCCATAAAGGCGACTGCCTACATCCGAGGCCGCAAGTCAGCCTAAACCCTAAACCCCACCAGGCAACTATGACTGTTGTTTGTGATGAGAGTGTCTGACTATGTTGAATGCGCTTAGTTCTCCGAGTTTCACACCTGGTTAGCAGCCTGTAACCGTATTCAACCAGAACTGAGCGTGTCTCTGAAGTGGGCTGAATGGACAAAGTAATAAAGGGGCCTGAATAACTCGAATAAAGTTTTGGTGTACATTGTAGCATAGTTCTGCCAGGGAATTTCGGAATAGTATTGGTGATTCTTCCGGCCCCTATAGCATCTCACGTCACAGAATGCACGTTGGGACTCCTGGCTAAGCCCTGTACAGCACAATGGAACGACTCTTGTCTTTCGACGGAATAAAAAGCCTAACAACCATTCATGCTGCCTTAAGAGAACCCTACATGTACTTCTAATTTCCCCAAACCCAAGTCACTGTTTATCGGGCCCTCCTGACTTATGGTGACGCAAACCCGTGCTTCAGTTTTTATGGGAACCGTCGTTTTACCATTCAGGCGTGCTTCCGCAAACATGTATTTCCACTCCTTAGCCGGTTTCGTGTCTTGTGGGTTGGGTGCATCAAAGTTTGAAATAAACCCTAAACCCTAAAACCTAAAACCCTAAACCCCTAAACCCTAAACCCCAAACCCTAAAAGTAAAGTAAACCGTGAACCTTAAGCCGCAGGGTTCAAGGCCTCAGAAACAAAGGGGCTGGGATTCGCACAAGCTCAGCGAAACCTCGTCCGCAGTGTCCTCTCCCAAGGCTCTCAAAAGCTTCCTTAACTGGGTTGGCTTTTGAACCCTCTGAAGAAATATTTATATAAAGGGTGCCCAAATCAGGAAAATAAAACATGTCCCAAAAACCAATCTAGTTAAGCCCGAAACCGAACCCCTACTCCCATGAATTGCTTGAAGCTGTCAATACCAAGCTTTCTGAACTTTAGGCGGCAAAACGCCCTCCAACTGAATGCACAACTTTGAAAGCAGTGCTGATGCTTGGGTAATTGAAAAATTCTCTGATTGCTAAACTTTAGAAGCCAACAATGCCGGTCATCCATGGTCCGTTGCTGTGGTTCTAATGACTCGCAGCATGTGGTTTTGTGGGCGTCGCGAAAGGAAACGTGATCCCTCACCGTATTGCCATCGCAGCTCAAGCCCGTTCTAGGCTTGCACTGCAATCCCCCCAAGTGCTGTCTGACATTTCTTTGGGTGTCCCGCGACCTTGCAGCTTTGGGACGAGTTGGCTTGCTCACCGGTCCGATACAGACTGTTGCGCTGCGTTGCTTGCCCTTGCCCACATTTCAATCGCGTGACATCAGTCATGGCCATCGATGTGTTTACCTACTTCCGGCTCCTGTTGCGGGTTAGTCGTAGTGAGGCTGCAAGAAGCTGTTTGCTGGAGGCGGGAGTTAGAGCTCTGAATCCTCCTCGCACTACCAGCTTCATGGTCTTGGTGCACGTCCACTCCGACCCCGGAAATGCTGGGAGGTCGGGGTGAATGTAGCCGTAGTCAGGTGCTTCCTTCAAGCCTTCCGGGACCCCGTATTCTTCCAGGAAGATGGCAAATCTTGCTGACACCTCTGAGGGGGGTACCCGGAGCCGTTGGAGCGAGAGCTTCTGCGGCCGTGTTTGCCACTCGACCCCAGGCCGGCGGCGACGGACGTACCGTCGGCGTTGTGCAGGCGACCAAGCAATAAACATCTGGCGGCAGGCTGGTCCTACACTGCCAGAAGTCGTGGTGGGATGTTATCCGCTTTTCGACCTTTGCAAAGCGGTCAATCGCAAATTTCTCACAGCGGTCGAAGCGGTGCTTATCGTAAATGAAAGCCCTTTTGGCAACGAGCCTTTCGCGATTGTCCACTAAATAGATTCTGTAGTTTCTGCCGTCCCGGCCGAGCTGCACGCCAACTGGAAATGCGGGCCGAAAAAGGTCCAAGAAGCCCTTGACTAAAGCAGGACCGCCATCCAAGTGAGCGACGGTTCCCTGTCGCAAGCCCTGAGAAACGCGCTCGCTTACGTGCGCATGTATGCCTTACAATAGCATACCCACGGAAACATAGCTTTCGCTCGGGGACAAAGCGAGACCGAGAAAAAGAAGGCGTTTTCTCAAACAAAAAAACGAGCGCTGCCATCAGCTTTTTGTATGCCTCCAGTAAGTCAGGAGTGTGCCGTAGCGCAAAAGTTGCCCGGCTACTGACATCTGGAACCGCTTCTTTTCATCGGGGGATTTTCCAGAGTATCCGCCACGTAGCGAGTCGGAGAGTTTGTGAAACAGCTTGGCGCCGTTGTTATACTCCGCTCGCCAGACTCCAGCTTCCTTCCAGTACAAGTGTGAAAGGTAACTGATAGGATCATCCTTTGTGCCCTTGTTCTTGAGCACCAAGCCTCCCTTGATCAATGTTCCCAATGTTGACAGAAAGCCTGTTGAGTAGTCTGAAGTCGAGACTTCGTCATCACCTGTTACTTTCTGTGCGCCAGTGTCAGCCGCGATGAGCTCATCGATCGTGGCGTAGGATAATCCTGCGATTGCAAGGCTCCCGAACGATTCAAAATCAGCCGCCAGCGCGATTCTTCCAGCCTTGATCTGGGTCGCACGTTCGGCTGAATTTCCGTTGGTCGTCTTAAGCTTGCCAGATGCCGTTATTCCCATTCGCTGGGACTCAAAAACACGTGTCCCTGTGGACAAACAGAAGTTCGAGGCAAAGTAGCCGTTAAGGACTACTTGTCTCTTGTGGCAAAGTCCATCTGCCCTAGAGACGTCCAGCCCCTGGTATGCTGTCCAAAACATCGCAGCGGACACGCTGAGATCCCAGTGGGAAGCGTCTGAATTCCGCACCTTGCCGTCGGTGGATGCAGCCAACAGTGCCTCGAGGTCTCTGAAAGTACGCTCGAGGCCACTGTCATCATGGCCACATCCTGTGGCGAGTGACGCTAAGTCACCGAATTCTCCTTGGTGCGTGAGGACGTCCAAGTGCGCCTGGTCATAGCTGATAAATGCACCGAGGATGCGGTCTACTTCGGAGACTGACCATATCAGTCTCCACCGCTATTCTCCGACTTTCTTGGCCGAGTGGCCCTCGCCTTTGTCGAAGACGATAGCGATGTCTTGCAAGTTCAGCTTGACCATTTCAAATGGTCGAAGATACGGGAGTACATGAGCCCGTGACACCGTAAGGGCCAATCGTATCTTCGCAAGAGTCGCTGCTCTGTCGGGCAACGTGCTGAGCCCAACCAGCCCAGGGCAATGAGCTTGATGCCGCGTACGGTTTAGGGTTTACGGTACTTGGAGGCCCAGGGGACTTAGTAAGTAGGTTGTAAATGCAGTTACAAGTACCCTAAACGGAGTTAGCCCAATTATAACCTACTTACTAAGTCCCCTGGGCCTCCAAGTAGATATCATGAGTGCCGTCGCATGCCCACCGCCACCCAGGCTCCCCCGACGCTGTCCCAATGCTCTATCCACCTGCTACTAAACCCTGATTCTCGAAGCTTTCCTGGAAGGTGCATTTTGGTTATTTTGATGTCACGGGCGTCTACGAATCCATCGCTTTTTTCAATATCTTTGCAGGGCACCCTGACCTGCGAGAAACTACTTTTTGTAGCGTCCGTGACATTGTACGGTCCTGAAAAAAGGTTGGGGTTCAATTTCAAAAGGGGTCTATAAGCTAGCGAAGCCCTGAACCCTAGACCCGAAGCCCTAAACCGCTAAAGCCTAAAACCCTAAACCCTTAAACCCTAAACCCCAAACCCCCAAGTCTCCCGCAGTACTCCCCAAAAGGCCCCCCTAAGACTTTTTAGGGCTCCTGAGTCTCTTCCCCTTTTGAACATATGGGTAGTTCTCTAAACTAGGGTCCCTTTTAGTTTCCTTTGTCATAAGGCTGCCGTACTCTACTTGGAGGCCCAGGGGACTTAGTAACTCGGTTATAAGTAGGCTTATAGTTGGGGTAACTCCATTTAGGGCAATTATAACTCTGCTTATAACCTGCTTACTAAGTTTTCTGGGCCTCCAAGTATCGGGGACCTAAGAAGCGACCCTAGTTTAGAGAACTACCCACATGCTCTGCATCGTCAGCTTACTTGGAAGCGTCGGGCGCCGGGCTTCTCGAAACCGAGCTTCGCTTCGACCAGATTGTATCCGAACCATGCCTGAAAAGGACCCCCAGATCTCAAAAACACTGAGGCTTGCACCCACCAAATCATAGAGCGCCCACCACCCCCGACCCCCAAACCCTAAGCCCTAAACCCTAAACCCTGAACCCACAAAAACCTGAACCTCAAACCCTCAACCAAACCCTAAAGCCTAAACCCTAAACCCCTAAACCCTCAACCCTCTCAAACCCGAAGCCAAGACGGACCTCATTGGCCTGGCTGGGAGGTAGAAAGCGCGCCTTTAGGGTTCAATCGGGGGTTTAGGGTTTAGGGTTTTAGTCCGGGGGCCATGCGGGGCCACTGGGTTTAAGGCTTAGGGGTTTAGGCTTTAGGGGTTCAGGGCTTATAGGGGTTATGGTTTAGGGTTTGGGGTTGAGGGTTCAGGGATTAGGGATCAATGTTGGGATGCTCCCAGAAAGCCCAATTACGGAATAGGCGGTAAACTGTTCCATTTAGGGTTAAGCTCTAGTATAGTTATGGGTCTCCAAGTAATGTCATGCTAAGATTGAGGCCTCAATTTGGCGGTCTGGTTACAGGGTGTTAAAGCCGTAAACCCTAAGCCCTGAACCCTAAACCCTAAACCGTAAACCCTAAACCCTAAACCCACAACCTCTGCAGCCCTGGAGCCCTAACCCGCCTAAACTCCAGCCCAGCAGTAGGACTAATGAGATGGGTTCAGGTTTTGTTATAAGGGTTATTGGGGCAAGTAGACTTGCTGAGTTCAAAGAGCCGCCAAGAATCCTCGAAAGCTCCAAGGTCCAAACCCTACCCCAAATCCTAAGCAGCCGAACCTTCAACTAGGCGAGCTTCTCAACACTATTCGCAACTAACATCCTCTGAAGCCCCAAAAGAGAACATGCAAACTCCACAAAACAACTCGCATCCCCTCAATGGCGGCACCCTCACCGCAATATAAGCCCCAACCCTGAAGCCCTCTATGCTGCAATGACAAAAAATCTTAAGCCCTAACGGTTCTAAACCCAAAGACCTCAAACCGAACTCTTAACACAACTCCTTAACGGAACGTAAACGGAACCCACTATCAGGAACCCCAAAGCCCTCAAACCGAACTCTCGACAAAAATCCTTATCGGAACGTAAACGGAACCCACTATCAGGAATCCAAAACCCTTAACCCTAAGCGGGCTCTATTTGGGGACCCTCGCTCAGCCAGGGAATGTTGCCGAGTAACATAACACAAAAATCACCCAACGATGAACGGAGGTCCTGGATCCTATGCGTCTTAGAGCTCACTAAGCCTGCGAAGCCCTGGATGAGCAACAGACCCCTGATGGCTTCCCGAAACCCTAAACCCCTAAACCCTAAACCCCTAACCCCTAAACCCATAAACCCCTTAAGCCTAAACCCCTAA